TTTTTTTTCAGTCGATGTGGCATGAACTAAATTGTTCAATAAATGGAGCAATGTCGCAGCTATTATCCTGAAAGTTGCACGTTGGATCAGTTCTTTTTAAATCAAATATGTGGTACAGTTCAATTTATATTACATGAATCGTTCATACAAAAACAGATTAGTGAAGTTAACGATATAAATGGCGAGAATTCATCTTCGCAAACAAATTTATTAAAATTACATTAACCCACAAACCTCTATATAAAAAATGATCATTTTCCTCGGATTTCTTTTCTTTCGGAAATGGTCGGGGATCAACAGCATCGCATACGGACTTTCATTGGTCGATTCAGTTTGGTAGCAGTCCTTTTTCACTAGTCGTCAGACTTTGCTGTCTTTATTTCTATTGGCAGCCCATTTGGAATCGGGACGATTCGTTCAGCAATGTTTATCTGCAACGGGTCAGACGGGAAACTGCTACCTTTTTTAGATTCTTGCTACCCCCCCCCCAAATCGTCACGTGGGTTCCCTTCGTCCTTGACTTGGTACGCAGGAGGATGAGATTGCAAATCATGAAGTGTTTGCAAGATGGCCAAAGATTCAATCAACCCTCAAAAGGGTTTAATCACATGATCGAGCAGGAGAGCCTGATGGTGCCTGGAGTTCACTTATAGTCAACCGCTTGATGGTCGCGTGATTTTGGAACATGTCATTCTCGGATCGGATGGCTTCAAATTCACGGGCTATTGGCTTATGGGCGGGAGAGAAAGAATATGGAGAGAAGAGAAAGGTATGGCTGATCATAGAACATATTCACTCGCAAGTTGAAAACATTGGATTTTATTTATTTTTATATTAAAAAAATATAAAAAAATTGATATTGAAAAAATATAAATATATATATCAAAGTCAAGAATTACTAACCACTCATACTACCATGGTTTCTAAAGGTAAGGTTTCTTCAGGCAGTGGAGGTTAATACTAATTCCCGAACGCTCGGAAGTAACTATTAACCTCCACTACCTGCAGAAACCTTACCGGCAAAAACCATGGTAGCACGAGTGGTTAGTATTTCTTGACTGAATATTTAATAGCTCTGCACATCCGTTTTTTCATTTTTACATTGTGTATTAAGCACTCTTTTATATAAACGTTTTTCAAACAAATCTGACTTTGACCGGAAAAACTGTTATCTCTCTCTCTCTCTCTATATATATATATATATATATATATATACAAAGACTTGTACCCACAAAAAAAAGAAAATAGATTTAAATAGAATGGACATCATTATTCTACCTTGAGGGGACCCTTTCACCCAACATTTTCTCAAAAGGTGAACGTTGGCGAAAATATCAAAGACATATTAGTAAATAACAAATGAGGATGGAAAATTGGGACACGATTAAAACAGATTTTAATTATAAATAAAGAAATGACGTGTACATAACTAAGTCTGATAAGAGTTATGGTGTTGTCATCTTAAACAGGCAAGATTATTTTGATAAAATGTCTAATATTTTGAATGATTTTTCCAAGTTTAAGATGATCGGTCCTGCTAGTACGTGTGATAATACTAATAGGGTTGAAGACGGTGGCTTTCAGTGTACAAAAATAACCTAATCTCCAAGGATGTTTATGATAGGGTTAGACCTGGTGGGTATCAACGGCTCAGAATGTATGGACTACCAAAGTTACATAAGAATGGTGTACCACATAGACCCATTTTATCTATGGTAGGATCTGTACAGCATGAGTTGGCCAAATAGTTGGCTGAACTGTTCTAGCCGCTATCTGATTTTTTGTTTCTCAGCACACAATATCTCTGATTTTTTTCCGGTTTTCAAATTTCATTAGAAATTTAGAAATTGAGTCGGAAAATAAACTGATGGTGTCTTTTCACATCGTCAGCCTGTACACCACTTTGCCTTATCATGAGACAATTAATATATGTGCTGATACTCTTTATAGAGGTAATTTAAGCTTGGCTATCATTCCTGAAAATTTGTTTTTGTAATGTATGCGTCTGGCGACTGAAGGTACTGAATTCAGTTTCAACGATATTATGTTTGTCCAGAGAGACGGTGTTACAATGGGTAGTCCTTTGGGTCCGATACTGGCTAATATTTTCGTAGGTTTTCATGAGGGATTTTTGTTTGATAAGTTCCGTAAACCCTACGTTTATATGCGGTACGTGGATAACACCTTTTCTATTTTTGATTCTGCTGGAGATGCCCCTGACTTTTTTTGCAGAACTCAGTTCTCTCCATCTATCCCTTCAGCTTACTATGGAAGTTGAGACTTGTACACATGTTGGAATTCTTTTGTTCCTAAGGCATGGTTCATCGCGCTATGATGATTTGTTCTAGATTGTTAAACGAAGAACTTGCAAGGACCCAAGAAATTTTGAAGGTAACGGTTATTTTGAAGGTAATGGTTATTTTGAAGGTAATGGTTATCCTATTGATAGAAAAATTAGATGGCTTAAAGAACCAGTGATTCTAGGTGCCCAGTTTACCCGAAGTTACCTTGGAAGTGCCAGTTGCTTGCTGACAGGATTTCGGCTTGTGTTGCTTCGTGCTACAACGCTGTCAAGCTGCGTACTGTGTTTCAGACGAGATCCGTATTTCCATCCTTCAGCAAGGATCATATATTTATTACTGAAAATTTACAATAATTGTGGCACAAGATCAAAAAGGGTAAGCGGTTTGAGGCCTGTCATCATTAACTATCCTATACCTAGCTAATCTGATTAACAACCCATTCACTCATTACAACACATATACGACAAGAAGTCATCATTCAACATTTACTACTACATATACCACAAAACCCCATATGAAAAGGGAACCAACAAAAACACCTCATGACTTAAACATTTCTTATGTACAAATGTTCATAGAAAATATATATATTTAAATTTACAGATGGTATGAAATGAGGGGGAGTGTATGAATCCCCAGTTACAAACTAAAATATAACAAAATATCGAACAGAAAATAACAGATGTTAGTAGGACCCGTCCAACCCCAAAAATGATAAGAGTGGCCGCTGTATTTTGTCTTCTAACAGAATCAAGAAGCTCTCTAACGAAGTGGAGAGGATGAAATAAATCTGGGTGTGGGGAAATCAGAGACTGGGCCAGTCGACATGAAAATTAAGGCCAAAAACAAACCGAACTTGGATCATAACACAAAGGAGATGCCGGGAACAGGTAAGGAAATAAACTCACTCGCATTAACTAGGTACACATAGAGCGTCTAACTTAACCAGGGGAGGTTTCACGGAAACCGCCTCGTTGTGACCAAGAGGACTTCAAAAAGGAACCCAAGGATAGCCCCTTTCACACGAAACGAGCTTGCTACTTTCACCCACCTTTCGCTGAAATCTGTCGACACCAAACGCTTTCTATCAGTTCTGATATTCACCTTCATCTGATGCTGAAAGAATCCGATCAGAGCCTGATGAGAGTAGCGCTCGTATCGCAAGATTCCCCCCATTCGCGTCCTCCAGATGACCATTCTTGCCACGGCTAGCTAAACCTATCTCTATGTAGTCCCCCCAGCCTCCTTCACCTTTTTAGCCTTATCTAGTGCGAGCCGCTGGCTATATTCGGTGGTGAAGGACCTAATCCTATCCTTAAGCCACTCCCACCACCTATTCCCAATAACCGTCCCTACTACTTCCCGCTGGACTAGTCTAATTAGCTGTTACTGGAAGGCCCGCTTATCCAGTAAAGACAGATTGAATTTCCAGTGTCCAGCCATTCTAGGCCTAGCATCTAACGCTATCCGGGCGCAGACGAGTCTATGGTCCGAATAGCCTAGCCAGTGGAACGTGGAGCAATCTAGTAAGTCTATGTCGGCCCTTCTCAGTAATATTCTATTCAGGTAACTGGCTACCCGGGTAAGCTGCCACTTAAATGCCCACGTCCACATCTCCCGCCCAAAGTGATCGACTTGCAGATCAGATCAACCAGACTACGATCGCTCGATGACCTCCTTCTAGATCCCCGACTCGTCTATCTTGGGGCCCAGGATGGCATTCCAGTCTCTCAATAAGACTAAGTGCGAAGAATCATCCAGAAAAGGCCCTAACTGACGGGAAAACGAGACACGCCACGTCTGGTCATTGGGCGCATAAACCGCAGCGACCCGAAACGAACTATTGTTCACGGCAATATTGGGCACGATCAACCGCCCCACACCCTGCATCGACATGTACAAGGTCCACTCTCGCATCCAGGGTACGTTTAACCAGCAAGGAAACATCTCTGGCCAGCTCACCCCCGTATTTCTAGCCCCTCGCATTGAAACTAGCTATCTTGAGAAACATTTTTCAAGTTTGGTCCCCCTATTCACAGACTGGGCGCAAGGAAACCGGCGGATTGTCCTTAGGCTCCCCTGTTTTCCCATCCGCCAACGTCAGTAGGATGCGTTAGCTTTAGAGCCCTGAATAAAGTGGGATGGAAAATAACTGGGACCCTCCCGTCGGAAAACTTTTGCAATTTTTTTACATCAGGTGTTCCCACCTCCTCTAATGGCTGGGAAGGTTTCGTTCTTCTCTCAAAAGTGCTCCCAGACATTTAACCCTCTCCCCGTGACCCTGATCTATGTTATGACACCCGGGGCTTTAGGGAAATTTCTCAGGTCCTCTACCTACTCCCCGTCGACCGAAGTCATTTTAAAAAGGGGCCTTAGAAATGATTTTCTTTTGTGAGGAAAGGAGCCTGCCTGTCTCTACGTGACATATTTTCCCCATATCGGGAATTTTTAGGGAAGTGTTGGGAGGCTTGGTGCTGGGATAATAGAGTCAGAAGTGTGTTGGAAGGAGGTGTGCTGGGAAGGGGTTGTTTAGAGGTGTGTTGAGATGAGGTGTGTTGGAAGAAGCGGTTTTGGTAAGAGGAGTATTGGGAAGGGGGAAGTGGAGACCTAATAGGGAAACAAAGAAGGCTCCTTGATATACCTTTTTCAGGTTCTTTGGCTGGGGAAGCAGGGACAGAAAGGGACTTGGTTTTGTTGATGGCCTTCTCCGCCCTACTGCAACCTCGTCTTTTTTTATTTTCTCCTCTTTTTCCTCTGACCAATGTGGGAGCATCTTCTCCATTTCTACCTCTTGACACTTTTGCTGCTCCGGTTAAGAGTCCTCCTGTTGTTCCTCATGTAACTCCTCCTCCTGCTGCTGCTGCTGCCACACCTGTCATTCCTCCTCCAGTTGGGGCCTCTTCAGCCGGTTATTCTGTTGCTGCTGATGCTAGTCGCATTTCTGCTCCTGTGGTATTTTACTTTTTGTTTTTGTGTTCTTGGCCTCCTTCTTCGGTACATCCTGCTAGTGGGTAGGGGATGCAAAAGTTCCATCCCCTCCCCACCAGGGGATGCAACTCTTTACCATTTCCGTCCATTCCACAGGACCTTTAGAAACTTTTGAGCTTGGCTCTGCACTTTTTTTTTTTTAGTTGTCGGTTCAAGTTGCGGTCCCCGTTTCTTTTCAGGGTATGCTTTTGAGAGATGACCGGCAGAGAGCCCGGCGGCCTTCTACTACGTAGGTAGGACGTCCTTTCCACATCAATACATTCGGTATCCCAACGAAATGTTTTCTGGTAACAGTGATCATATTTTCGACATCACCCGTGGCTATTCCAGCTTTACTTTTGATGGGTAAGACACTAGAAACCTCCCCAAACTTTGCAAAGAAAAAGCTCAAGTGGTCCTCTGAGATATACAGGGGCACTCAATGCAGGGACATTTTCGTCTTTCCTGCCCCGAGGTATTCTGTTTGGAGCCTGACAATTGACTTCATTGTCAAGATGCTCCTAGCCATATTAATATTAATATTATATTAAGTATAACAGTAAATTGTTGACGTGCGTTTTATATAAAGAGATTTATAAAGACCTAGCACTCAGTCTAGCATCGGTGATTGCAAAAAATTGATTTCATCAAGGGCATCTACCAAATCAGAACAATGTACGCTATTTTTTATATCACATCAAACAGCTTTAGATGGTGTTATTTATAAGTTAACATTCTGAATACAAAAATTGTGCTTGATTTTTTTCAATTCTCGAAAAAAAGCCGTTTTAATGTTTTTCTTATTAAATATGGCGTTCTTCACTATCATCGTGTGCTGCTTTGACACCATGTTTCATTCACCATGGAATTCTTATGAGAGAAAATAGAAATCTTTTGAAATAATTAATACATTTATTCGCGATAACTTCTTCATTATATTGTAAACATGTCAGCATTTGCCAGTTCTCCAGATGTCTTTCCGTAGATACATCGGGTGCCAGACGTTCATTCGGAATTCATTAAATAACAACAAAAATGACTCCCTTTGAACAGAGGAGCATTCAAAAATTGGTCTTGTTCAGATGAGATTTGAAGCTAGTAAATGAAATCATGAAATGCTAAACAATCATGCTGAATTTTATAATATATATTAGGCAACTGAATGACTGTGGAAAAATTCTGTTTACTGCGCTTCACCATCTAGAAGGACTTCATCATACTGTAATTTTTTTATTGATGAAATTATATACGTGTTACGCGTCAGTTATAATTATGTACCAAGGAAAACCAGTGAAGATGTGGAAATGTTGAATTTCAAATAGTTGAGTTTTTCATATTTTTTTTCTTTTTTAATGTTTGAAAGACTTTAAAGTTTTAAAACTGTTTTTGTCAGACGTATCTGGCCATACAGTCTACCTGATCTCATTCACTTTATCTACGCTTTTTTTTTTTTTGTTGCTTTTATCGTTTTTGTTTTTAAGTATCCCACATTGTAATAAAAGATATACAAAGAAAGTTGAAATGTTGTAATAATCTGAACGCAAATTCGACCGTGGATGATTTAGTAATCAGTGCACTTTCTATACATTTTCGCCTTAGTAAATTGCTTTCTCTTTTAATTACAGTAACATTTTTTTAATTCAAAATTGTAGTCAGACTCGTTACGGTGAGAGACTAATGCACTCAGTGTGCTGTTTTGTAAAATATCTCTTTTGTGTTCATATAATCTTTTATTTAAATTCCTCGAAGTTTCCCCTATGTATTCCTTGTGGCAGTCATTACAGGCTATAGATTAAATTCCTACTTTAATTTTTAGCTTGTTATTAATCTATTTTGTATTTAGTTTCTTATTGTTTTATTTTAAGCTTAGTTAATTTTTTTCAATTCTATTCACATAGGTTTGGGTGCGTCAATATTTATATATCAGTGTTATTATGAAAACACTTATATGTTTGTATGAGTGTGAGTATGTAAATTTGTTACAAATCCGTATCCTAACTGTAAACAATAACAAATATTTACTTTTCAACTTAATCTCTTTCATTGCCAATTCATTTCATTAACTTGTATATATTAATTACATAGATCGAAAATTAGACAGTGAAAAAGTCAGTTATGCATTTTAGTGGACACACGTGTTCGAGTTGACATTTCTATTCTTAATAATTAATATCAACTGGCCTAGATAGAAAAGTCCTACTAAAGAAAAATGTACCACCTGACAGGAATCGAACCTATATCCGCTTTTTCCAGTCTCTTATAGCGGAAGCGTATCGTTAAGAATTTGGTCACAGGAAGGCATCGTGATAAGGTAAAGCTTAATTATCTATTTAAGTAGGTACCTCCACGAAAACGCTACAAAATCAACATACCGTGATGAAAACATGTTCCAAACGTAAGAGTTTTATCGTCAAAATCGTTATGTTATTAATAAGAGGAGGATCAAAGTATTTTTGAATATTTAATTAAATTTTTTACTACTTTTTAGAACATTCGAAATTTTGATTAAAATTTTGTTTTTCTTGCGTCAGTGGATGTACTAACGTTTAGCATAGCAAATTTTAGCCTCTTTTTTTACAGTGACAGACACATTAATTGTGAAATTTTTGCAAAAATCAAATAATTGTCGGATTTTAACGAAATTTTCGGGATTTATCCACAAATGAATTAAATTATTTTTTTTATTTTTTATTATTAGAAAATCTTAGTAAAATATTTATTTTATATGTGTTTCAGCCCCTTACTTAATTTTATGAAAACCTTAGAAATTTTAGTGACTACATTAGTTAAAAACAGAATTTTTTGAAGAATTTAAATCAACGAATTCCTTTCTGAAAATCTACCTTACCGAAGCTTTTAATTGCTCTTATAAATAATATATATTAATGACAATATTGTCTGAAGAAAAAAACTAACGAAAAATGAGATTTGTTTTCACTTTTTACAATTTTAAATTGAATAATTTGTAAAGTTTTTAAATCTTATAAAATTCGTTTTCAATGAGATAATTCTTAGGAAATATTGTTATTAAGTAAAACTATATTTATTAATCATATATTGTGAAGTTTATTACAATCTGACGACCCCGAATATTTTAAAAGAATTTCGATTTGTTTTTGTATGTGTGATTATGTACAAAATTTCTGAAGCATGGCTATACAAACCGAAACTCTATCATTAAAAGGTGACGTGTTTTTAGGATTGACCCCCACATTCTTACGGCGAAAAAAAACTCAAAGTTTATCGTCTGCTCCACCATATTTAACTATGAACATGTTCGACTGTCAATCGGATGTGAATAAATCTATTAATATGCCAGGAAAACAAGACCCCGTAGTTAAGAAATGTGTATATACAACATTTTATGCTTTAAGTAATATTTGTTTCAAATCAGATTAATTTAACTTTAAATTTTCTAATTTTCCTCAAATAACGTTTCAGAAATACATATTTTGTTTTTGCAAGATTTTTAAAAACGAGAATTAACTTTTGTTTACAAATGTGTCAAAAATGGCGTTTTGATCTATTTTAATAAAAAAGAAAATCGATTCCGATCAACATAAATCCTGGTTTGAAATACAGTACAGAGTATTTGCTTACTGAAAATAGTAAATTTTAAATCCTTTAGTCTTCAATTAAAGCTAAAATGAAAGTTTCAACAAAACTTTTTCGTTTTTAAAAAATCATTTTAAACCTTACGTATACCGAATTAGTGGTGGTACCTATATTTAAGGCATGCACATCTCTTCGAATCTATATCGGCGAGATTCATGGTTTCCCTGATGAAAAAAGTAGCTGCAGATTCGATTCATTTCGAGAGACACATTTTTCTTTAGTAAGACTTCTCCATCTCGACCGGTTCTTATAAATTTCACTGTTTAAGAAAATAACGAACAGGGTTCAGATACGTGCATCCACTAAAAATGACGTTTGTCGTAGTAGGAAATAATGCCAGATCTTAAAAACCATTTAAATGCACACACACACACACACACACACACACACACACATATATATATATATATATATATATATATATATATATATATATATATATATATATATATATCCTTATCTCTTATATATTGATCACTGGGGATATAAGACGCAGTTTTAAAAAAGAACAGAGAAATTCCAGGGAAATAGTTGATTTTCATGTATGAAACGTAACTGATTTTAGGGCACAGACGATGACCAAAGGTTGTGTAAAAAGAAAGAGAAAAAAATTTAAAAAATGGGAGATTTTGGTTATTTTTCTGAATGGGAAGCATTACGCAAACGTGATAATGACTCATGTTGTATTAGACCACTTTAATACACACTGAGAAAATAAATCGAAACAAAATAGAATAAATATTAACTTGTTTGTTAGATTTTCAAATGACAATCTGAGGTATTTCTTTTGAAATTATTTCTGTAGTCCTGAAAAGGACTGTTTGTGAAGAATCCAGGTCACTTTTCTGTGCTCATGAGCATCCAAAATCTGAGATTGGAAGGTCGTCCTCGACGAACCCTTCAAACTCGTCTTCGTCGTCGGACCCGTAGAACTGATCAAATTCTTTCTTTTTCAGCAGGTTTGTAATCTGTATAGTAAGCATCGTCAGCGAATAAGCTCGACAGCACTGAAGATGACCTTCAGTGCTGTCGAGGGCTAGTTCGAGATGCAAGCATTTCTTGAAGGCTTTGACACAATGATAGTGGCATACGACTCTTCCAAGTCGTCGAAGATCAAAACTTGCAGCTGTCTTCAAGCGCTGGTTTTCTCATTCTGTCCTCCAATGTGTAATTTGTTGCAATACGTCATTAGAAAGATATTATCTCTCCGGTAAACAAATAAATCCAGGTTGAGTCGATTTTGTCCGTTTTGAGCCCTGTAAAAATGGGGTTGAGTTTTAAGCTAAAGTGTATGACGCAGCAGTCTTTTGGACACAATTTTGGATGAAAAAAACCTGGGTCTTATACACACATAATTACAGCACACACACACACACACACACACACACACATATATATATATATATATATATATATATATATATATCTGTGTGGGGGTGCAGACATTGTTATGTACATACTAATATTAATCCCCCCCCTCTCTCTCTCTCTCTCTCCAGTGGTATGGTGGAATCCATTGATCAAAACCCATTTGATGCATCCAAACTTCCATTATCTGATTATCGTACAGGACAACATTGATTAAATGTATCCTGTTTGCTTATTGGTCCTAAGTTCAAATGCTCGATTGTAAAATTCATATACTTTGAATGAACGGAAAGGACAACGTAAGAAAGCATACACGATCTCCTCTCGCATAGAGAGTGGAATGAGAACAATAAGATTTGCTCTATTTATTTCTCAGGGTAACTCATAGATCAAGACGATGAGAGCGATTTTATTAGTTGCGTGATGAGAGACTGTTGATGAGAAGCAATAAGAAATTACATATTACGAATGTCCAAAAGGGACACACTCTTTACTTGAACGTTATGTTTATATATTTATGTATCCAGCATGGCAAGCCTAAAATTCTACGATAGCAAAAATTGGCTTTTACGTATGACAAAAAGAGAATTCACAACTTTCCTTAAGGGTATGTTTAATGGCAAATTGCAAATCTGTGAATAAAAACTAATTCAAAGACTAATGGAACACTTTGCTTGATACATATGAGTCAAATTAATGAATTCTTAATTTATAAAAAAAAAATCATAAAAATTAGTTTTATTAAATTCTAGCGGCTCGGATTGAGGAATCGGAGAGCCGAGTTCGAATTTCAGTCGAATTCATTATATTCACATGCGTGCTAATACCGTTGGGAAAGGTATGAATCCTCTCCTCCCTCCCCAGCTATGGGTAAATAGCAAGACAGACCGGGTTCTATAGACTTGGATGGCAACTGGTCTACCGCAGAAAGAAATAGCAACCTACTGCCTCATCAGTCATGTATCGAAAGATACATGATCGCCTAAGCGTGTATCACGTATGGCACATAACTGACTGATCACTATTCAATATCTTTTGTGAATTAAACATTAAAAATAATAAAATAACTCTTAAATCGTTGTTCCTATTAGAGTAATTACTTAAAATCTATAAATTATTTTCGTACATATTTTCCTTTCATCTACCATATATGTAAATGAAAATTTAAGACCTAAACTGAAAACAGTTTATCAAACAAAGCAATATTACCGGGGGGGGGGGTCATTTTCCAACCATCCTTATTTTTCGGTGATGTTTACAAACAAATTCTTTCTCGCGGGAATATCTTCAAATATTTTACAAGCTGTTCAGATACAAAGTAAAAAGTGATTCATAAAACTGGAAAAAAGTTTTATTACAGGTGTGTCTATTAATGAATCAATAAATGATGAACTAATGGAATTGTTGGGGGACGGGATTCTGTGTAAAATTCTTGATTTGTTAGTTACAGCTTTTAAATAAATGTAAAAAGAATTAGAGCACTAATCGATCTGGGCCTTCATTTCGGATACAAATCTGAAAAGGCTGTCCAAGAAAGCCTTCGCAAAAATATTTAATGTTCGATCATTTAGTCAAATTTTGAGAAGTTGGCCGAACCAAGAATTTGCAGCACCTACTCTTCATTTGTTATATTTTTTCCAATTTTATTCTTTGAAAAGGTTCAAAATACACGAAAACCAAATTAACTTTTATAAAATACAGAGCTCTCGCTCTCTCTCTCTCTCTCTTTCTCTCTTTCTATCTGTCTGTCTGTCTATCTATCTATCTATCTATCTATCTGTATGCGTGTGAGCAATGTGTGTGCGCACGTATGTGTGTAAAAAGCAGTAATGTTCTCTTCATATTATTGAAGAGAGAATAAAGAGAAAGAAACATAATTGTAGGCGGGTGCAGACAACCACATGAAATTCTCATGGTAAAAACAGGTTTGATTATAAAAATTATATAGTAGTGTTTGTTGACGTCATTGCCGAAGTCATTCTCATTTGTGATATTGAAATATACATTGTAACTAATTATAATTTCTAAAGTACCTATGAGTATTATTACAGAGTTCATAGCAAATTGAGTAAATTAAAAAAGTACAAGATTAATCTTATTCTTTGTTAATGTGAATAATTTCCTTTCTTTCATTGCTTGCCGAATTTTCAGAATTAATTTTTTTAGTGAGATTTTTTTCTGTTGTTACTTTATTTGAAAAATATTTTTTAAAAAAATTATTATTTTGTTATTTTTCTTTACTTTATTATAAATATCATTGCCCATTTATTTGTCGTTCACTTTTATGAAGAATTAACTCAATTAATAAAAAAATTCATCAATTAATTATTCTCGTCAGTATAACTTCAGAGTATTTAAATTAATTTTATTAGTATTCTAGTCATTACAATGATTTTATAAAAGTAACTGTAGCAGTAGTAATAATAGTGGAGTGGAGAATGATGTTTTTTTTTCTCCATGCAAAAAAAAATGTAAAATTTATACTGCTTAAGTATTGGAGATTTTACAAGTATGCTGGAACAGAGACTTGTAATATCGACTCATATTTTAATTTGCAGATTAAAAAAAAAACAAAAAAACTTGCAACTTTTATAGTTCAAACTGCCTTAAATATATGGCATAAATCTAATTGACGCTCTTCGCTAAATCTTAATTGTTTGTCCACCTTGTTGAAAATAACAAAACTCAGAAGAATCGACGAAATGACCAACGTCGTAAGAGTTTTTATTTTTTCCGTTTTCCCTGAGTTCACACACAGTTGCCAAAATGACAATTATAAATGCGCTGCTGACTTAGGAATTAATGCTTCAAAAGTAAATTTAAAACTGTGATTTGTGACCATGTGGGTAAAATAATAATAATAATAATAATAATAATAATAATAATAATAATAATAATAATAATAAAAGTTGTCATCGGCTCCTCGTGTCAAGGGATACAATAATTCCGCCCCAGTGTTTAGCACACAGTATCTCTGTTTCTTATTTCATTAAATGAAAGTTGAAAACAAAATAAAAATTAGGGTAATTACAATGATCCTTTCACAATAGCAAAAAAAATAATAATAATTGCATTAAACATTTATTGAAACAATAATGCGATACGTTTTTCAAGAGAACAATAGTAGTAAAAGATGTTAATTGGAAATTGTAGTAATAGTAGCAATAGCATTAATGGAAATAATATTTAATAATTATTATGATGGAAATAAAATGATTAAAGAAATTATAAATTTGTATGATTTGTTGAAGACTGTTATTCTTACTAGCAGTGGTTGTGGTGGTAGTGTTGTAGTAATAGTAGTTAAATGTTGTGACGCTAAAACGGCCAAGGTTATCGTGCCCCAGACTCACCGATCTATTGGGTCTTCATTGCCTGTATTTTATTCACATATGAGATGGCTTCTTGATAAACACGTTAGAGAACGTAGAACACGCGCACACATACACACACAAATATACATACTCATATAATCCTATCCTCGCTATTTTTCATTGACCCTTATTGAAAATATTCAAACGTTGACATTGGTTAACTCGTGCGCATTGAAACAAAAAATGATTATACGCGTACAAATACACGAATCCACAAGCATACAGATACACGAACACATACACAGATTCCCGCATGCATATAAAAGATGAGGCCGACAGATGCAGACATATTGACAATAATGAAGCTACGCACGCTAGAGAATATTCGTAACATGAATGATCCTTTTGCATTATTATCATATGTATGCTTATTCAACACACACATGTAAGCACGCACTCACACACAATCGCGCACAAATCACGTACGCGCGTACGTACGCACACAGTCGAGTGCATATATTCACATAATTCTACGATCATGTACACTTAGATGACAGAAATATAGCTTTTTTTAATTTATGCTAATCCAGCGTTTATAACCATATGTAGGCATCTGCCTGTCATGGCTACAAATACATTAATGGCTATTTGTACATATACCAGCTGGAAATTTCTGCTTCATTGGTTATCGATTTAAAAATAATGTCGAAACCTCATTCTGTTTTTAAGTAAAAAAAAATTAACTGAATGTTTATATTTAGAGTATTTATGTAAATAAAAAAATCAATTGTGAAATTCCTCTTTTATATCAACTTATTTTTCGTAAAAGTAAACTATTTACAAAATATTTTACATTCAAAAGGAATAAACGTTTTTACCTAATAGAAATTGAGGAGTTGAAGCATTATTGCTAAGAATAAAATAGTTTCTTGTTCATAATGCTCTGAAATTGGAATTACTTCTGCACGCATTTTACACAATATTGTGCTTTATTTTCAGATAATTAAATAGCAATAATTGTTGTCATAAAAAATCTTTGAAATGAATTAATCTTGTCCCATTTTTAGTAGCAGCTGTTCCTTCTGTTTATGAAATTCATCTTTAAATATACCAGGAACCAACCTTTATTGTTACTGTTACTCTCAACAATAAAGGCACTATAAATAAAAATCAATGTAAATATGTTGAGTATAAAAGGTGTAGCAGTGTATCAGTTTTCTTATACATAACATTAAATACTTTTTACGTCACCTAATGATGTTTTCTTTTTTTATCAAAAGTTCTAAAATCAGTAAAATAATAGCACTGTTTGAAATTTTGTTGAAATAATAGTTTATTTATTTCTGTCATCAATCATTATTTCTAAATGTTAAATGTCCCGCTATTATTTAAATGACAGACATTAACACTGGTTTTCATTTTAATACAGCTTATTCTTTGAAATAAGATTTATTTTAATTGCAATTTGTATTTTGTATCTCGAAAATCTACAGCAACCTTTTAATTAATATTTTTTCAATGCACCTCTATAAAAACAAATGGGCTGAGGATCAAGAAAAATATCGTCACGAATTTCAAAATTAATTTGCACAACTGTTATTGTTAACCTTAAGTTTTTCGCATTTGACGACCGTTGGAATTGCAATTTTTATGAAGACGTCAATTTCGTAGACTCTGTTGATAATCGCTTGGAAAATATCAAGTACTGTAAGCTTGGATGTGCGGGTGGTGTAATGGATAATGGCTTGGAATTGGAAATCGGAGAGACAGGTTCCAATTCCAGTCGGGTTTATTACATTCACTTACGCGCAAATTTCATCGTCTGGCTTTAAATAACCAGCAAAAGGTTGATAAGCCTTAAAAAACAAATCAATAAATCATATACTCTTTCATATAGATGCAAAGTTATTCTCTTTTAAACGAATTAATTGTAAGGAGCAGAAAAAGAAACTAAAATTACATTTTAAGAAATTGATTATTGCAAATGAATGCAAAATCTTTACTAAACGAGATTATTTACAGAATGTGACAAGATGAGAGGTTCCTATTCTGATGTTGAGTCAAGCACAAGTCCAAATTTGGGAAAATACGAACAGAAGACGCTGTTGCTCTGATATTCCAAATTTATGAATCTGATTGTCATACAGGTTCAAACACCAATCCTTGATACCGGTAGCAAATTTCTGGCACCAGTGGCAAATATGTGGCCAATACCTGGCACTGATGACAAATACCAAGCCAATCACAGATATTAACTCCGTTTACACAGGATTGAATGATTTTGTTAACCTATGACAGGTACCCTTTTTACAAAACTTTGCTTAGTCTGACTCAAGGTCAAAATAGTGAGATACTCAGTACTAGAGTGAGAAACAAGCTTGCTAAATATTGCGATAGTGTAAACGCTTAATTTCTTTACAAATTGGTTTATTTTGAATGTTGCTGTTATTCTGAATAAGTGGGCTCTAATTCTAATTTTTCTTCAGTTGGTGTTTATGATTGAGTACTTTCGTTTAATATCCTAAAGTTACTGTGTATGTGGATGTATTTACATTGTGTACGCGTGATGCATTAATAATATTCATCAAAACACACTCAGTGAAGAAAAGTACTCATTTAAGAATACGGAAAATTATCGACCCTTACAAAAAATAAAGTGGTCATTTGATCCGATTTGAGAAGTAGTTTGGGTCAATTTTTTATCACCACTTGTATAAATTTGTTGAAAACAAAAGCTACAACAACAATCATCTATGGCTTCCGAATCAAGTGTAATTGGAATTGGTACGATTTTCGGTCACTTCCCAACGGTGTCGCATGTTGGGATCATCTACCCAGGCCGATATCATAAGGAAGTAACTTCCGTGACATATCGACCATGGTGAGATTCTAAACCGCGACTCATAGTCGAAACGCTGACGGACACATACATACATGAGCAAATATGATATATGAATGTATATATACATACATACATACACACATACATATATATATATATATAGATAGATAGATAGATAGATAGATAGATAGATAGATAGATAGATAGATAGATTAGAAAATTGAATAATAAAGTGGAAAAAAATTCTGTGTAACGCGTTTCCCTCTCAAGAAAACATTTTCTTCTCTATCTATCGATATCCAGTATTATAAACAAGCATAGATAGATAGATAGATAGATAGATAGATAGATAGATAGATAGATAGAATAAGTAAATTATGCAACGCGTACATAAACATAAACTCAGTAAATAAAAACGTTCAAGCATTGATTTACTGATAAGTCAATAAAGCCCGTTACTGTTTCAAGCCTGTAGGTAGGAATCGACGCATATTCAGTGCATTCAATCCATTAGTGGGTTTAAGAAAACGAAAATATTACAGAAAATAAATATTTGCGCAATACTTATTTATTTGTTCTCATTTATAATATATGAAAATATTAGCGCTTACATTTGCTTTTTATTGAAATCGAAA